CACTGTCTTTGCGAGAAATTGGGGTAAATTGGAGGCAGTGTTGGAGAAAGCCGCAGAGGATTTCTTACCAGCAGGCCCCTATACACCTGATGTTATGGCTTTCCGCAATATGCTCACCAACGTTGATATGCACAAAAGCCTTGGCTATGTCTCACTATGCCTCTTTCGGTATTAACAGACCTGTTATGTTTGAAAAAACATTCCCCATTCATGAACAAATACAGTCGGTACTTTATGACAATTGGGTTCATCTTGAAAAGATATTCACCCTTCTGAGAATCATTGCTGAGCTCTATCCAGTGGAGAAAAAAGTGGACTAATGCAGGCCATAGACGGTTCATTTGTCGGCCGATTTTTTTTGTCTGAAAAACGAAACATCGGTCGTACTGTTGCCATCAATGATTGTGAAAATCGGCCATTTTTCACAAATTTTCCAGCATGACCGATAAAAGAAATGATGAGGAACCGTGAAATTCGGTCATTGCCCCACTAAAAGTGCGAAAATCGGCCAATTATACTTTCAGACGAAAAATCGCCCCAATAAACGAACCGTCTATGGCCTGCATTACTTTGACTGCCTTCTCAGTCTTAAACCTCTTCTGAATACCCACTGAAGATGTTTCTTCATTCAAAGATTTTTCTAGCAGAACGTTTGAGACACTCCTAAAAGCTCTTTACTCTTGCAGGCCCAGCTCTGCAATCAGCTATTGCTGCAATTTCTGTTTGTTGAACTGCAGCTAATTGGACTAGGGCAGCAAGTAATAAACAGGATCCCGTCTCCCAGGTTCACACTTTGGTGAACCGCTTACAGGCTTTACCCCCAACTTTGTTTTTTTTTTGTGTTGATGCTCTAGAACAGTGGTCAGTGGGTAATACAGCACTTTGCATGCTTTTATCTGGACCTTGGTGCATTCTTCTTCCCACCATCAGCAACAGTGGGACGCAGTTCCCGCCACTGACACCAACAATGGGGCACTATACCTTCCACTGACACCAATAATAGGGCATTATTCCTTCCACTGACACCAATAATAGGGCATTCTTCCTTCCACTGACAATAATGGGGCATTATTCCTTCCACTGACACCAATGATAGGGCACTATTTATCCTACTGACACTAATGATAAGGCATTATTCTGCCTACTGACATCAATGATGGGGCACTATTCTTCCCACTGACTCCAATGCTGGGGCACTATTCCTCCCACTGATGCCAATGATGGGGCACTATTCGTCCTACTGACAGCAATAATGGGGCACTATTCCTCCTACTGACAGCGATAATGGGGAACTATTCCTCCTATTGACAGCAAATATTCAGAATGGTCCTGATTTTTTCCATATGCGCTAAATCTTGTGCGAGTTGGCCCCTTCTCCAATGAGAACAGGGCTACGGGGTAAATGTTTTTTTTTTTCTTTTCTTTGGGTCACAGGCATCCCAGACTGATGGGTTCAATTGATGGTTTCAAAGGGGGTAAGACCACTCATCTCAGGAGCATCTACCTTAAAAAATAAAGCATCTCCTGCACAGATGCATGCCGACTCCACCAGGTCAGTAGGAGTTTCCTGGGCGCTCTGACATTAAGTCTAGGTTGCTCAGCTTTGAAGGGCCACCATCTGGTCTTCTGTTCATACCTTTTCCAAGTTCTACCAAGTGGTTGTCTAGTCCTCTGTGGATGCAGCTTTCAGCTGAAAGGTTTTTGCAGCACAACTCTGTTGGGTCCATTGACACTTGTTTTTGTTGGGCCTGTTGGCACAGTTTTGTTTTCCTTTTTGTTGGCCGCCCTTCTAACTCATTGCTTGGGTACATTCTAGGGTCTTTAAATATCAAGCCCAGCCTCCTGTACTGTATGTTTAAGATAAAGAATTTGTTTTGCTTGTAAATTCCATATCTTGGAGTACATTACAGGACACAGGCTGCCCTCCCTTTGTTACTCTGCTTTGCTTGCTGAAAAAAAAAAAAAGTATTCGTGGGTAGGGTTATAGGGGGATACCAAGGAGCACTGCCTGGAGTAACTTAGAGAGGGTTTTGGGGGACTGGCAGCACAGATGGATAGATTTTTAACTTACAGCTTGCTCAGGTATTGGGGGAGGGGGGGATGATGAGATGAGGGGATCAGTGTACAAGTGACAGGAGCAACAGAGCAGGTTTCTTTTTGAGTTTAATTTACTGACACTTTTACATTTTAAAATATGCTCTTTTCCTTTCTTTGTATCCCACTTACACTTTAAATGATATAGATAGTTAAAATACAAAAATCAGTTGTGTATCAATGCGCTTTGCAGATATCATGGGCAGAAGGGAAGAGACATGAATACTTTTAGCTGTATTACTTCTAGATCACGTTGGTAGATCTTCTACTTTAAACAGCATTTGAACTACTCATTAACTGGCCTTATTGTGTCAGTAACTTATGCAAGGCAACTGCACTCACCTCTGACCCTAACATTTCATTAAAGTGAGATCTTTGGCAAAAGTGAGTTTATTGGAAACTTATATCGCCTTGGTTAGATCCAGGATCTGAAACTTTTTTTTTTTTTTTGTAAATAGACACTGACTTTTTTGTCATCCTAGTTCACCTGGCCCAGGCTGTTTGAATACAAGCCCCTGCTCAAAAGTTCTTGTTTGTTTAAAGTATAATGGTTATGTAATTTATCTTCATTTCATTTATTATTGGGTATTAAGGAATTTCTGAGCTTTATCCTGAAAGTTTGTAAGTTATTAACATTATTGTAACTTGTTTTGGCGTTCATCGTGAGCAGCTGACACCACATCCTCTATTCTTGGGACACTTGATTGCATTTGACAAGCCATTCAAGCTGAAATATTCATTTTATTAGAATATTGTGACTTCGCTGCTCATATTTAGATTTCAACCAATATATTTCTTTTAATGAACTGGTATTCCTATGATACATTCCAGTGCAACAATCGTGAAAATTGTATTTTGCTTTAATATATATATATATATATATTTTTTTAAATGATAACAGTCCAGTACACCAAGGTATTGTACAGGCACAAGAGAATCCACAAATATTAACCATGATCCTAGATTCTAGAATGTCCATTTCTGGTGTTCTAAAATCTCTCTGGGAGGTGGGCACAAAGGACAACCCACGTAGCCCAATGGCAGGCTGCTAGTCCATGCTTTTTACAAGGAAGAACAGATTTAAAAGGAAAAAAAGACATAGAGATCCACGGCAGATACCGATCAATGAGAACTATTCTATAGCATTCTACTGGTTCCATGGACTCCACGTTGAATACATTTTTTTTCTGTGCATTCTGAATGCTCAACATCTCATCATTCATCCAATTCAATATTTGACTAAGCCCAGGGGGGCCACAGACTTTCGCAGACTAGATGCCAAAAATATATTTGCAATCATTCTTCTTTAGTCCTTCTCTTCTAATATTTGGAAACAAAGTGTCCAATAGTGCATCATAAGATTTTTTTTTTTTTTTTTTTTTTTTAAAATTAGAATTAATGTATTTATCAGTGTATAGATACAAATTCAGGTCTGTTGCTATGCTGAATAGTGTGTGGCAAAACCGAGCTACCAGTGGGATGAACCTAAAGGGGCATGGTTAAATAACTTGCTATATACGTGGCATACACGTGCCACAGAGCCTGACAAACATGTACAATAGTCAGCACACTTATTTTAAAAATAAACCTATTCCCATCTGTGTGCTTTTTCCTTACCTTAAGGAAGACATTGATATAATAGTAACTTCCTGCAATTTTGAATTGTTCACTCAACCCAGTCATTCGGAGCTTTGTGATTGCAGAATTTATGAACAATTCAGAGTTAGAGTTAAGAATTTCTTTAGCGAACAATGCACAATTATGTTGCTCCATTTGACACTGGATGTACCTGATATTTGTATGATCTTTCACCATAACCACTAATGGTTGTATAGCCAATACAAAAAGTATCAGCAACAAGGGGCATTCTTGTCTTGTACATTTTTTTTTATTTTGATCAGAATTGATTTGAAAAAAAAAAAAGATTTACAATATTTCTCCATCCACACAACCAAGGTGATTGGACATTGTGTTCTGACAGTGGCTCCCACTGCTGTCAGAATACACTGCTCATTGGCTGCAGCTGCTGATCAACAAAAGTTTTCTTGTGTTTCCGTTTGACAGAATTTGATCTAACAATCGATTTCTTTCAAACAGGGAGGGCCACACACAGTTTGAAAAGTCAACAGAAAGAAGCAGAGCTTGTCTATTGGGATTACAGTTCCAACTAGACTGTACGTTAGAAATAAAATCGATCGCATGCAGCTTGATCTTGTGCCTGTCCATTTCTAACAAAGTCTGCCTGAACAAGGTGCATGTACCTACAAAGGTACTGCCAGGCTAAAAGTCATAAACTATATGGTCACAGTTAATACGCCATATAGCTCTAAAATTAGCTGAATCCGTGTTGTGATTGGAGATGTAATTTATGTAAAAGTTATGTGTATTTTAGAAATGAAAACAATTGCTGTATTCCTTTAAATCAGAAACTGTAGATCTGGTATAAGTACCTCAATTTTCCTGTATATTATTTTTCTATAATCTTCTGCACAGTAAAATTCTGTTAGGAGGAGGAGGGGGTCAAAATGTAAGCCAGTTAGGCTGTACTGTGTCATACAGTTCCGTTGGTTGAAATGTGCCTACTGAAGGGCAAGACACAGATTAGTGTTCTTCTGTCTGTTCATTGTCCAATGAGCTTGATAGGTAGTGAGATGAGCTAAACTACTGAGTTACTGATCCCTTGAAAATATGGTGTCATTTTTCTGGCTATGAAAGTTGCTGGAGTTTGTGAATTACAAAACTGGCTGAACAGAATTACAAATGATTTAACAGTTCACTGAAGTTGTAAAGGGTAACCCTAATGCTCCGTACTTACACATACTACTTCTACTGAAATCCCCAATAACAATCACAAACAAAGTACATTTTAGGTAAGCTCTTCAGTGTGCAAGACCATAGAATTTCTGATGACATTGTATTTTGCAGGTGCCAACATTGAGAAATCTGTTAAGGACTTACAGCGATGTTCAGTGTCCTTGGCACGGTATCGCATAGTAGTGAAGGAAGAAATGGACAACTCTATTAAGAAAATGAAGCAGACTTTTCATGAACTGCAGACCTGGTAAGCTTTTGCTGTTTTTATATCTAGTGGTACTCTTTTCCTGGTATCACAAGACTGTAGCAGCCCTTGAAATCAGAATGATATATTTTATATATATCTTTTGCTTTTTCTCCTCAAAGGCCAGATAAAGGGCCTTGGCTTTTCATTTTTATAAAGCACAGACATATTACACAGTGATTGAGTCCCTAGGATGAGTTGCATTTTTTCTGATTACAGTGTGTTATGTCCTTAGCGCACTTATTTGCATTGTTGCAACAGCTCTGGGTGGTTGCTATTTATCTACCACTATTATTGTTTTTGGATTGGTGTGACGAACCTAGAAAAATCAAAGAAAACTCACACATACATGGAGTAAACCTAAAAAAAAAATTCCTGGCAGAAAGTGTCTCTGGTGGGATATGAACCTTGGACCTGAAAGGCTGTAGATGCTCTCTTCTAAAGTAAATTGTGTTAAAGGGGAAGTACAGCCAAAGCTCTTTTGTCCGTTCTGCACTCCTGTGATGCACAGGAGAAGTACAAACATGACCCGTTTTTAGCTGACAGCCAGCTGAAATCACTCAGCCAGTCCAGACTGGGGAAAGATCCTGACTTTAAAGTCGGGATCTACCCGAGTCTGGAGCGGCACCTTACTCAGCCTCTCAGTGAGCCACTGAGAGCCTGAGCAAGCCGCTCCCTCCCCCTCCACAGCCCAGCACTCCAGTGACCACAGGGGGGGCAGAGCAGACAGTGGTGACTGACAGTCACTGCTCTCTGCTCACAGCAGCAGTGAGAACTCAGTGGTCATATGATCGCTGAGTTCTTACACTTAGAGCCGGCGGGGGACAGATGCCTCATCGGACCTCATGCTGCATCTACCTAGGTAAGTATAATTTGTGGGGGGAAAAAAAAAAACCCCCAAACTTCTCTTTTAAAAGAGAAGTTTGGAAATATTAAACAAAAAACAAACTTACACACTAACCTAGGTGGATGCAGCCTCAATCCAGTTTTGCATCTGTCCCCAACTGACCTCTGAGACTGAGAACTGAGCGATCAAAGACCACTGATCGCTTTGTTCTCGGTCTTCAGTGACCGTTCCTTACTGTCTTTCTGCCTTTCCAGTGCACACTGGAGCATCAGTCTGTGCAGGGGGTGGGATCGACTGGCTCAGGCTATCAGAGGCTCACTTAGAGGCTGAGCCAGCTGCCGCCAGTCCACACATCTGGTTGCAATCTGACATTAAAGTCGGGATCTCTCCACAGCCTTGACGGGCTCAGTGACATCAGCCACCAGCGGAGTACATATGAAATACACTAAATCATGTCATGGTGTATAAAGGTGAATACAGAACATATGCTCAATTCTTTTGTAATGAAGTAAATCTTGCTCTATCCACTATCTGTGCAGAATTTGTCCTGATGATAATTTTTTTTTTAGAAGAATAACATCTTGATAGTTGTAGCAGGTAATATGTTATTCATGTGTGAGTGGTTCTCTTTTATGAGCAGGTTTACAATTTATGTTGTACTGTAATTCTCTTGTAAATTCACTTATGTAACTCAAAGCTAGCTCCCTGCTGTCAGCAATGCTTATCCCTCTGTTTCGTTTCATGCTGTGTACATGTTGACTATCAGGAAACATGGCCTTGGGCTGTTTCATTTCTCCAGCACCTTTATGGTGCACACTTGCCACGCCAGTCCTACATTGTGCAAGGGAGTATTTTTATGACCCATGATAACCCTGCCTCACTGACAAACATGCTCAGCTGAGCGTAATCCTGTGACGGATTCAGCTCTGTCCTGTCATTTATAGCTGCTGTGCTAATACATCTTTACTTTAAAAATATTTCATTGTCCGAGTCAGAACCTCCCATATGTTTCAGGTCAGTGTCTCAGAAAGTATTGAAGCCATTAAATCCACATGATAGGTAGGCAGACCTTTTGAGGAGTGGTTAATGATGGCCCCCTTGATAGTCTCTTGGTACAGTACTTTTAACCATTTCCCATTCTTTTATTTTCCTCTATAGAAATTTCTGACATTGCACAGCTGGATAAGTTTGAAGGCTAGTTGAACCCTCAGAATGTATTATTCTAATGCATCCATGCTGCATATACATTGGACTGCTTTCACACTGATCCCTTTTCTTCCGCTTTTTCGTTAAAAATAGCAGAAGAGAGAACTGGTGACCATATATTCTATGGGACTCTTCACACTGCTCCATTGCGGGTCCGGTGCATTTTTTAATATCCTGCTTGCGGCACCTCCCAATGGAAATCAGTGTGGGAAAACGCCACAAGAACACACCAACATTGTGTTTTTGATGTGGTTTTGAGTCACATGTCCTGTACAACTGCAAGTGTAGTAAAACCACGGCAAAAACGCATATGATCAGTGTATAAATGGTAGCCTTAATAAATCTGATCTTCTTTTACTCTTTATTTAACTGTCCAGTGTTGCAGCAAGGTTTAAAATACCCTATGGTGCTGCAATCTGGAGAGTGGCTCTTATGCAAATCAGCAGGCTGACTCTACTATGGCCTGACATGACCAGCAGCCGGTGCACTAATCTATGGCTTTTTCAGGTTGTAAGGGGGGTGGCAAGGTGAAGGGTGTCAGACCAAAGGAGAGCTGGCCCTGCTCTTTGTTCAAAAGAGCTGCAGTTTGACGTCTAGATTGCTGCAGTACAGGGTAGCTAAAATATATTTTAGGCTTAGTTCTTCTAATAAAGGAAGCCCACTTTTCAAGAAATATAGATGTCCCGCGTTTGTTTCAGATGAGATTAGATTTGTCTCTAATATGTATGCCAGTTATTCACAAATCTGTTAGTTTGTTGTGTTTGAAGTTAAAAAAAGATGAACTGTTGAATTTCAGCCCTATGTGTGTAGTAATGAGCTTGGGCTACCCACCAGGAAGCTTTCACCTGTACAGGCCAATCACGTGCTGTCAGCACATTCCCCGCACACGAATACAAGGGGGTGTATACGTACAGGTAGGGGAATGCCTCAGCCACAGTTGATTTGCCCATACAGGTGACCGCTTCCTGGCAGGTTCAGATCCTAGTCTGAATACACCTGAGCTCATTACTGGTTATATGTAGCAGCATTGCAAGTTCCTTTTAACCCTTTAATTTGCATATACTACTTTTTAATGCAGTTCTCTTAGAGTTCACTCATGTTGACACCTATAAAGTTATATATGCTTATGTGCAGTGAATGGACAATGCAATGCTAGCACTACATAAATGTGCCATGTTTGGCCATAGGTGGTGTATTGATCGGCTACTATATATATATATATATATATATATATATATATATATATATATATATATATATATAAAAAACTCCAGTTTAATTTAAAAAAGAAATGGATTGCAGATTTAAAATGTGTTCATAATTAAGCCAAATAAAGGGTGACTCTGGGTAACAACGCAAATCTGTGAACTGTATATATACTCTTCAGTAAACATTACACCTATGCTCAGAACATCTACCCGGTATACTTAAATCCATTACATAGCATTCATTGCAGCAAAATTTAGTAGATCTCTAAAATAATTTCCAGGTAGGACTGCACCCCACTTGGCACCATGTTACAACCTGGACATTTTATAAAACATGGTCTTTAAGGTAGGGTTAGCTGGCACCACGTTACAACCTGGACATTTTATATAACATGGTCTTTAAGGTAGGGTTAGCTGGCACCATGTTACAACCTGGATATTTTATATAACATGGTCTTTAAGGTAGAGTTAGCTAGCACCATGTTACAACCTGGACATTTTATATAACATGGTCTTTAAGGTAGGGTTAGCTGGCACCACGTTACAACCTGGACATTTTATATAACATGGTCTTTAAGGTAGGGTTAGCTGGCACCATGTTACAACCTGGACATTTTATATAACATGGTCTTTAAGGTAGGGTTAGCTAGCACCATGTTACAACCTGGATATTTTATATAACATGGTCTTTAAGGTAGGGTTAGCTGGCACCACGTTACAACCTGGACATTTTATATAACATGGTCTTTAAGGTAGGGTTAGCTGGCACCATGTTACAACCTGGATATTTTATATAACATGGTCTTTAAGGTAGGGTTAGCTGGCACCATGTTACAACCTGGACATTTTATATATACATGGTCTTTAAGGTAGAGTTAGCTAGCACCATGTTACAACCTGGACATTTTATATAACATGGTCTTTAAGGTAGAGTTAGCTAGCACCATGTTACAACCTGGATATTTTATATAACATGGTCTTTAAGGTAGAGTTAGCTAGCACCATGTTACAACCTGGACATTTTATATAACATGGTCTTTAAGGTAGCGTTAGCCTAAAGGCTAGCGGAGCTGTTAAGCACATCAAATAATTGTCAGGAGAAGGCTCCATTTTAAGCTGATCAGGAATGGATCGAAATTCAGCCTGTTCAGCAGGGACTTTCTGAATTTTGCTGTGTGTGGCCAGTGTGATTGAACATAAGTCTACAGATTGACTTTTGTTCAGCTGCCCCCGACAGTAGTTTTTTTTTTTAACCTGTCAGCATGACAGGCATTAGACTGAAGCCCTGATCTGTGTATTCTGATGGTGGGGGTCTCCCCACTGTCAGAATATAAAGACATCGTGGGGAGGATTGTGTAACACGGAATGTGTGGATGAGGGACTTGGTTGAGATTTTTTTTTTTTTTTTTTTCAACCTGCTGATTGAACAAATAGAAGGACTCGTGCATGGTCAGCTTTAGGCCATTTAAATTCCATGTTTGTTTGGAGCAATTCTTTTTCAACGTGGAGGGGCAAAGCGATATAGTGGTTTAGCAGATCATTATTAAGCGAGGCTTCTCAAACTGCCTGTGTCCACAGTCTGTACTGTCATCATGTTAAATTAAAGCACAACTTTTGCAGGATCAAGTCAGAAAAGCCCCCTCTGCATCCAAGGGCTAAGGTTATTGTTTATTCAAAACAAGACGAGGAATATTTCCAACAGTATAATTGGCTGTTACCTTATGTGCTTTTGTTACATACTGTTTCTTTAAAGCAGAGAGCTTTAGTTAAATGTCAGTGTTCCCTTATTTGTTTTTACTTGCATACATAGTATAGACGTCAGTGGCTGTTTGTGTTGCTAGATGCTTCAGCACCTAACCCGTTTCTATCCTGGAGTTGCGTGCACAGTGAGTGAGAACCAGGAAGCTTGGTTCCGTATAGTGGAGAAAAAAGAAACTCCTCAGCTGCTTTGGCTTTCAGCCAGGTGGAAACTCCTTCAATAAATATAAGGGGACAAACGTTTACTCCAGCTTCAGGACAGTTTTTATAAGTCAGGGTGTTGTCTTGCCCTTTTTTGCACGACGGATAAGCAGATAAAGCAGCAAATGTTAGGAAAAAAAAAACCCTTTACTTATTCAAAGTAAAACCACTAATTTGAATGCTGTTCTAGATCTATTCAAGTACTAGAGCATAGGTTCATATGCAGTTTAAAGGACACCTATCATAGGAGAAATATGTAGGCTGCACTTTTTATTTCTTTCAATTCTAGTTGCCCAAGCTTTTATGCTCATCCTTTGGCCTGAATAAAGTCTGTGTCAATGACCTATATCAAGTATAGATATCTGAGGTTCTGACTTTCTTCTGACTCATAGAATCAAAGTATTGACATTCAAAGGTCAGCATGACCGCCAGACATCTAGCATTTCAACAGAAGATCATTTTTTTTTTCTTCTCATGGCCATTTTGTGTAGGAAAATTATCCTTAAACATCTTTAGTCTCATAACCAGTAGGGGACAACTTTTTCCTGTAAGAACAGTCAAAGATTACATTTTCACTTTTTTTTTTTTTTTTAAATGTGATCTGATTTTCCACTGGGGAGATTTTCCATCACTTCCAGTGATAAAGTATTGAGCCTAGAGATACCTCTAGTGATACAGCCAGTTTAATCCCTTCACGCCTAGGGGTAAAACAAATCTTAAAGCCTAAGTATAATTTTACAACTTTGACATAAACTGTACATATGATCACAACTACTTTGTACATCCAGGTATACCTTGTTTTTTTTCAGGACAAGTTGGGATTTATTTGGTGGTAAAAGGCAATGGATAGCTCCTGATTTTTTTTTTTTTATTATTATCATCAAAGAAAAACTGGCCCAAAATAGTAAAAAAAAAATTATTTTTTTTAATTTAGCTGTGCGTTTCTTGTTACTACCATAACCTACCACCAAAGAACAACCCAAAATAAATTTTCCAGCTTT